TGTTTCGGGCTTTTAGCCTATCATCAGTATGGTGCAGCCAAGTGCAAGGATAGGCAAAACTTGGTTGTCAAAAGTTTGAACCTGTTTGGCCTCACCTGTCTATTATTCCAGGTGGGATAATTGTGGAAGTCTGAGTTCAACTTTAGATTCATCTATTTCTGTGCATATGTGCATATTTCTGTGTATATGGATGCATTATGCGTATAGTCGAAGTAGACAATATTGTGCACTCTTAAAGTTAGCGGCGCTCTCAAAGGCCAGAAAAACCAATACATAGAAATGAACCGGCAGCGAAGTAGTCCACGTGGACTGATGACTTGGCGGTTCGTATTAGATAATTTTTACTAACCGAGTTTAATGATTGGCTGAAGAGTCATGTTACGGTGACGAATAGAAATCGGGAAATATGGGGATGGTTATCGCCGTCGTGTTCAGTTCAAGAATTGATCGCGATTTAAGTGTTGACATTCGATATTGGTGCAGTTTTAATTACTTAAAATTTTTGTTATCTGTTTTAAAAGTGGCATCCTTGGACAAGTACTAATAGATACAACGAGTGTGATAAAAACGCAGACTTTTTCCAGTGTAGTAATTCCAATAGCGATGGTGAACAATGCGGAAAAGAGATACCAGTGAATAAGATTCGGATGCATTTTAATATTGAAACAGAGAGTATGTTTCAATGTATATAAGAATCTACATCTCAAGTATGGTTTCGAGGAAAACAAACTATTACCAGCAACATCAGTTTTGACCGAAATTTCTTTCTCAACTTTACGTAAAATAGTCAAAAACAAATGTTATGAACACAAGACGCGATGTGATACAGGATTACCAGAACCTTTAGATGTTCATCTAATAAAATCATTGAAAAAACAATATACGACTGTTACAAAAGCAATGAGATTCCTGGCACTGAAATCATAAGGAAGAAATTTAATACTTCTGGCCATAACGTGAGCTGCTGTGACAAAACTCTTCAGAATTGGATGATGAAATTAGGATTTAGATTCAAAATAATGAACGAACTTCAAGCAGCTATGGAAAGCAGAAGAATAGTGGAATTGCGTAACAAATACTCAGAACAAATAAGTGAATGTAGACAAGAACAACGGCAAATCTTCTATTCGGACGAAACTTGGTATGACACTTACTACACAGTTACGAATAGGTGAACTGATGGTTCGAGAATGTGTACGCCTAACATGCCTGCAAACAATGCAAGCTAATATTTCCAAAGAATGGTTTGCATCCAAATTTGGATGCAAATAGTGTAATAGTTCTCGACAACGCTTTCTATCATTCGCGACAGCTCATCAAAGTACCGAGGAAAGATGAAATACAAAGTTTTTTAATGGATAACAATTTGTATTTTGAAGATTACTACACCAAAAACCAACTACTTGAAGTCTCACAGACAAAAACATTTGAAAAAGTGTATGCCCTTGAGAGTATTGCTGAAAAGTATGGACACACCATACTGAGACTTCCCCCCTATTTTTGTGTTTTCAATCCCATCGAATTGACTTGGGCAAAATTGAAACAAAGCATCAGGCGTAAAAATAATTCTTCAAAATTTGATAAGAAGGCAATAGAGCTAATTGAAGAAGAAAAATCTAATATTACCGAAGAAGACTAGCAGAAAGGGATTGAAAAAGAAATTTTAGTTGAAAAAGACTATATGCAGATTGGACAATTCTATATTATTGGTGGAAATAAACTCATTATTGATTTAAATGACGACAGTGACAGTGAAACAGAGAATATGGGAGGATAATTTTCAGAAGCTTATCTTATCTTTTTATCAGTTCATTTCAAGATTATTTGTCGCAAACCACAGTTCAGCTTTAGATGCAGTAGTCGCCATTAATTCATTGAGTATAAATTGACTATAAAAAAATCTGTTTTGAATCTGTTTTAAAATCTGTTTTTCCATTTATCAGCTGTCGCCCCCATACGAACGACAACTCTCAGAAGTTGAGAAACTTGCGCGAATTTATGTGCGAATTTATTAACGAATTGTCATCAGCAAAAGCACTACACATGTCCGGAAGCAAATAATGGAATATATCAGTGACATAAATGGTGAACAACAGTGGCCCAAGAACGGATCCTTGTGGCAGGCCATGACCAGTATGAGCTTGTAGCGAAGTGGTTTCGTTGACCAATACCACTTGTTAACGGTTGGTCAAATAGGACTTTACGACGTTCAGTGGGGTTCTCCTTACCTCATAGTGCTGGAGCTTTGCCAGCAGTAGCTCATGAAAAACACCACACGACGTGTAGAAACATGTTTTTATTGATTTTACAGCAGGAACAATTGCATTTGTTATTAACGAATTGAGATGAAAAAAATAAGAGGAAGTTCAAAGAAGCTGCATATATGTTGTCCAACGACGCATTCAGTCAAGCTGGCGCAAACATTCGCAACATATGGAAATCCGTAATCAAGCGAAAAACGGTCACCTTCCGCCAAACGGTCATCTCCCGCTAAACCAGTGAAGTGGAGAGAGAGAGAGAGAGAGAAGAGGGGATAGGTGACAGTGGTCGAATTACCTTTAAAAAGTCTTTAAATCTTCTCATGACATCCATTCCATCAGTCTCGTTCCATGTACTAATTTGTATAGGTTCCGTGTTGTATGTTCGTTATATTCTTCTGGACGTAATTTTGTACGTCCATATATTGCCTGGCTGTTTCTATCCCTTCGTTGCATAATCTGCAGCTGAGGTCTCCGTTGTACAGCCCCATTTTAATCAGGTGTCCTCCAAGCGGACAATGACCAACCCTGTAATTATTCTGAGTTCATCCCTACTATATTGAAGTAGTTCTTCGGTTCTATTCTCGGACGGTTCCCTAATGAAAGTTCTACTGTGTTTGTTGCCAAGTACTTTTGTCCAGTACTCTGTGCTTCTTATTAGTCCATGTCCTAATTTGGTTTCGTACCACTAATTTTGGTACCCCCAGAGATGGTTCAGGACCTATATATGAAGTCGATGATCCGTGTCTAGCGCATTCATCAGCTTTATCATTACCTGTGATTCCTGAATGTCCTGGCACCCAGTACAAAGTTAAGTTGTTCCTGTTTGCAAGTTCATTCAGTTCTTCATGGCATTCCCAGACTAGTTTTGATGTCGCCTTTGGGTTTGTCAGAGCCTTCAGTGCGCTCTTGCTGTCTGTAAAATTATTGATCCGCCCATTTCTTTGAGGTCTGAATTCAATAAATCTTGCACACTGCAAGATAGCAGCTGGAATATACCGCTCGGTATATTCCAGCTCCCGTTCCATGTTTGGTCTTCGATCCCTCTGTATACCAGGTATTTTTTCCAAACATGTTTTCGGGATGACTAATGTTCTTCCACTCTTCACGGCTTATGATTTTGGCCGCGAAGTTTGTCCGTGCATATATTCAATATATGCTTCTCCACTTGTTCCGATCTTTTGTTTGTAGTTCGGTAAGTTTTTGAGTCTGAATTGGCCCATCCTGGCCTCCCCCATTATCACAAAGTGTAAAGGAGGTAGATTCAGGAGTGTCTTCAATGCAGCTGTTGGGGTAGTTCTCATTGCTCCCGTCACTCCCAAACATGCAAGTCTTTGCAACTTGCCTAGTTTGTTGATGGTGGTCGCCTGCTTCATATTTGGCCACCAGACCAAAGATGCGAATGTTATCATGGGTTTAACCACCATCGTGTATAGCCAATATACCATGTCTGGTTTTAGCCCCCATGTTTTTCCATAGGTGCGTCTGGCGAGCATCAGTGCTACCTCCGCTTTCCTCTTTATCCTGTCCAAGTGTTGGTTCCAGGTCAGTTTGGAATCTAGAATTACTCCCAGATATCAAACCACCCCCGACACTTGTATTTCTTCACCTCGAAGTTTTAGAGGTCCGAGACCCTCCGTTTTAGTCCTCTTGGTGATTGCTACTACGGTCGATTTGGATGGGCTTATGTTAAGCCCTTCTTCTTCGGTCCATCTTGTTATAATGTTCAGGGCCTGCTTCATGCAACCCTTCACTACATTACTGTATATACGCTGGACTAAGATGACTGAGTCGTCTGCATAGCCCAGTGATTTATACCCATTGTGGCCCAGAATACATAATAGCTCGTCCATTACAAGGTTCCATAAAAGAGGGGATAAAACTCCCCCCCCCCCCGAGGACAGCTCCTTACTACCCGTGCTATGACTGTTTCTCCCATAATGGTTGTATATACCAATGTTCCCCTAAACATGCAGTCTATCCACCTACAGCTTGTCTTGACGATCCCTCTTCTCCTTGACGTCTGGATCATTGATTCTAACGTCGTATTGTCAAATGGGCCCTCCAAGAAGTAGCTAAAAGTACTTCCTTGTTCTACCTTTTCTGTTACCCGATGTAGAGCCCTTTCTGTTGACATACTTGACCTGTACACATGGTCCTGGAGGAATAGTCTCGTCACCTTCCAAAGACGATTGTGGATACCAACAATCGAAACATCGAGAAGAAACTTGGTTTGAGATCTTTTTTAATTTTTCAGTTTAGTTTTTAATTTTTTTGCCTATTTTTATTTGCACTCTTTTTTATTTCTTTTCGCTCTGTGGTCATTTTCATTTTGAATTTTGATTATTTTATTCGTTTAACTATATTTACATTTGCCGTTGTATTGCTCAACATAATTGATATTTTAGCTATTCATTCTAATTTCATTTATTTTTTCATAGATTTTCAATTATAGTAGAATCATATTAGACAATGGAAGTCCAAACTAATGAAATTTAATTTTAGATGATTTAAAATTAAGAACAAATCGACACCTGATGTACTATTCATGATATACAACTGAATATAGTGAATTGAGGTGAATGTGGATTCAAAAATATAGTGACAACCCTGTATATAAAGGGTCTTCTCTTTGAGTTACCAATAAGTCCTAACGTGAGTTATTGGGATTATGAATGGAAGGAAATCATCATAACTATAACCAGAGAAGGAAATAATAATTACTTTTGGTTCAATACTCACCCCTTGACATAAAAGGCCAACAAAAATGAGGAAACAGAAGCGCATGTCCCTTTTACTTGACCAGATGTAGAATTTCTGAAATCAGAATACTATTTTTCAAAGTAGAAATAAGCAATCGTTTTATANTAGATTCATTTCATTTAAATCAAGACTGTTCCATTTATATTTTGTTGTAATAATCATTCCCTTAGTTTTCATTTTATTCAGTTTCAATTTATTTGCCATGAGTTACCCATTTACATCCATTAATGCGGTATTCATTTTATCAATAGCTATATCTAAGCTTGAATGCCAATAGTGTATCATCTGCAATTACATTTTTTATAAAATCAACATTTATAAACAAGTTTATGTCATTTGAGTATAAGATAAAAAGCAGAGGTCCTAAAACGCTACCCTGAGGCACACCTATATGTGAATCCAATTCCTGTGATATATAATCTTGAACTCTGACTTTTTGCTTTCTATGGGATAAATAGTCGTTTTGGGAATTGTTGCTTCAGAAACATCTCTTAGTAGAATTTTAAAGAAAATACAGCATTTCAAATGGAGAAGGACTGTGAATAATAGAACAATTTTAATGGACCATTAGAGCATTGAGGATCAAGTATTCACAAAAAATCAATTATTTTCATAGCCAACAGCGCCCAATTGTGTTTCTTGATGAAACATACCTTCATAGTGGACATACATCTTCCGAAAACTGGACGGATGAATAAACAAAAGGGTTTAAAATATTGTGAAGGGACCGAGACCTATTATTGTCCATGCAGGATGTGACATGGGCTTCATACCTAATTGTCGACTTATAATTAAATCAGGAACAACATTAGGGGATGATTATTCAGAAATGAATTCTGAAAATGATGGTAAATGTTTACAAAAAAAGTAAATCCCAAATTCACCTGTGAATTCGGTAGTGGTGACTGATAGTGCTCCATACCATAGCCCCTAACACAAATTCTAGGAAGGCTGATATGGTAAAGTAGCTTCACGAAAAAAGCATTATGTTCACCCCTAACATGCTCAAATCCGAATCATAAGAGTTCATCAAGGTGAATGAAAAGCATCATATTAGATACAAATTTATTGAGGTCCTGCTTGAACACGAACATATCGTTTTGCGACTTCCACCGTACCATTCGGATTTGAATCCCATTGAACTCATTTGGGCTACTGTCAAAAACAACGTGTCCCATAAGAATGTAACTTTAAAAGTTGGAAGATATGAAGAAATCACTTCCAAAAAATGGCATGTAGTAGATTTAGAGCCGAAATATTGGGAAAATGAAACATTCACAGACGTTCAAACAGAGGTAATTACAAGTGATTATAAATTTAAATGACGATAGCAGTACAAGCTAAATCAGCTGATTGAAATTTATTGGGACTGATTGAAATTTATTTTTGACATTTTAATGAACTGTACTAATCCCTATAATACTAAATAAAATATGAAAATAAATTACAAAGAAGTCATGTTCCATTTGCTACCCCGATTGAAACTAATTATAGGTACGACACTGGCCAGCAAGGGGCTCATCGTAATCCAACAGTAATTTAGTTGGGAGAGTCTATACCTGCGCAGTTGAAATATTTGAAAATCCTTTCTTATTGCACATCTACAACATAGAATGACCCTACATACAAAATTTCAGCCTCCGAAAATATATCGGCATGAAGAAACAGTGATGAAAGTTATTTTCATATGTAAACGCCCCCTTTTTACCCCCACGGGGGCACGTCAGTTGGAATATTTGAAAATCCTTTCTTGCGCATCAAAGACCTAAGAAGTACCTATATACCAAAGTTTAGCTTCCTATAAATTACCAGTACAGAGAAACAGAGATGAGATATTTCAAACTGAACTTCATTTTTGAATTCCTCGTTCAATTTGTGACAAAAAAATCTCTTCCGCCTATTTTCCTTATGGGTTGCCGTTTTTATGCAAGAAATAAAAACGTTTAACGTGTAGTTTTCATTACTTCAATATATCATCAAGAACTAAACCTATCTAATGTAATGAAAATAAATGAACACAGCAGAAATTAATACTAAAGAATAAATAGGCGCAAAGCTAATTCCGTATTCACTCAAATATTTCATCTATATTTCCCATTATCGTACAGTCGAGTATAATTCGATTCCTCAGGTCTTCAATATTTTCGAGGAGAGTGGAATAAATGCAGAATCACCTCATGAAGTTTGTCGCACCTATTCGCTAACACCCGGTGTATAATAAGAGAATTCGACTGAGTAGGAGACATCATGGAACCAAGATCAACATCCGACTACAATAAGATATGCTAATGAGCTGGGTTGGTATAGTCGGTACTTCGTTTATAGCCTTCAGCAATGGGCCAATGTCAAGACTAGATTCTCTTGCGTCGTATCCATGACCCACATCTTCGAATTTACTGCCCAGTGGATTTCTTCTCGATTTTATCAGCCAGCAGCTCATATTCACTGGCTCATTGACTAGTTAGTTGAATTTGAGTAAATTTTTTGTTGAATTTAAATACTTTATTGGAATTATAAAACAACAACAAAAATTGATTGGCACTCCGGGGCGACTTTATTGATTCCAGTGGCAAATTTGCTTTTTGAGCTGCAGGAAAACCCGGAAAAACCTGCACCACAACATAGTCTGAAGATCTTGGTTTGCCAGTGTCCTCTCTTTCATAAAACAAAATGTAGGGTGTCTCCAGAGGCTCCAATAAATTCAATACATCGCCAGAACATTTAGTGACACGACTATCGTTAAACTTAAACCAGTCCGTTTCGTTTTTGATCAAGGCGTAATAATGACCAGATTAAACGCTAGAACCACAGTGAAAAATGACTGCATGAAGATCATAATAGTCGTCTGCTAGATTGAAGTGTTCATCTATTTCGAACCTTCGTAAGAGTTTGGTGCTTCCGCCAGAGGTTGTCATGTTTGAAGATCATCAGTGTTATCAGATCGACTGGTGCCTCAGCTATACTTGTTTTCTTATAACTGTCAGTTAGTTTGGCGCATTTTTGACAATACAGTCGATCATCGTTTCCAATCACCAAAACCAATTTTGCCGGATAATACCGACAATAATAACACCTTCACTATACCCATAATCAAAAACATCAAATACTTGGGAGTCTACTTAGATAGTCACATGAAATGGGACACTTTCTTGAAATAAGATACTTGAGAACTTTATACTTCGCACTGACGGAATCACAATTGAGGTACGGAATAATAGCTTGGGGAGGTGCCTACAATAATCCAATGAACGGACTCGACGTACTCCAGAAATGGATACTGAAGATAATATACTAAGCAATTATTTTTGAAAGTCTTGATAGTGAAGCAGAAAAAAGAAGGATCTGAAAATTACTATGTGCACATATACAATACTCGGAAAGGAGATAATCACCTCGCAGTGCTCTTAATATTAAAAACAATATCCAAACGTTCATCATATTTCCTCAAACCTAGAGTATATAATGCATTTCCCAGTGAACTGAAAATAATCAACTCGTCGAATTGCCATTCTTAGACGTTTTGGTGAAGAGGACCGACACTAAGCTATTCATTTTCAATTCTTCTTTTTTAGTTGTTTCAGGGATTTCAAATCATTTTATATAGTAGACAATGGAAGTCCGAACTAGTGAAATTCATCATGAAACATTGTCAATCACCTTCAAACAAAAGTCCTACTGTTAAGCGTAGATTTTTCCTGGTCATCGCCAGATATTTCTTCGGCACCAGCTTCTTAGCGTCGCCCAGAGTGATCCTGGCAAGATTGCATACTTTGATTCCATCCCATCCCTTTAGGAATTGAGCATGGCTGTAACATTTGGCTAGTTCCGCAATCGTCGAAGTCATTGGGCCGTAAAATTCTTAGTCCAGCCGCTTCCTTGGCTTGAGAGTTGGCCATGCGATTACCTTTACTCCCGTCCCTTTAACCCACCTCAGGATAATGTCATTATCTATCGAGGCTTTGGTTAAATCTTTGTGGCACTCTAGTACTAGCCCTGAGATAACACGTTGTATGTTCAAGGCTAATAGGGCATGTCTGCCGTCAGTGCAAATTGTTATGTTTTGATCAGAAATTTCTCTCCTGGTGATTTTTTTGTGGCGATTGAGATACCAGACAGTTCTGTTTGGACCACTTCATCCTTAGACTTAGTGATCTGGAGTACACTCCATATCCTGAGCTTTCATTGGTTTTTGAGTCGTCTATTACATGTTGACTTCACTTTTATTTCACCCTATCTCGAAACAAGTGTTAAGTGATTTGACGAGTACATTATTTATATTTCCGGAAGTGTATACTGAGGAAAGAGCCAAGTCCAAAAAAAGCACGCCAGGTTCGATCAGATGTCAAGATTTTGCTCACTGTTTTCTTTGATAATCGTGGCTAATTGCATCAGGAGTTCTTGCAACATGGTTGTACATTCAATAATTCATGGCTTTTGCATAACCAGAATGCACCTGCTCACTCGTCATTTTTGGCAAAAAAAAACAGCGTTATCATGCCTTAGCCACCGTATTCACCAGATTTCGGCCCCGTGCTACTTTTTCCTGTTCCCAAGACTGAAGGGACTAATTGAAGGATGGCGTTTAGTGACGATTGAGGAGATAAAAATCGAATCGCTGAAAAAGCTTATGGACATACCAGAAAGCGCATTCCAGAATTGTTTCGAGGATTTGAGAAAACGCTGGTACAAGTGTTTCATATTTGATGAAGACACCACAGAAGTTGATGAATGAATAAATATTTTTGATAAAATGAAAATTCACCTTATTTTTGGAACAGACCATGTTTAGTGGTATGTTATCATCAATATTTCTGGTGTGCCTCAGAGCTCCAACCTAGGTCTTCTTTTGTTTTTATTGTTTATTGATGACTTATGTGATAGTTCAGCTTGTGAGCGGTTATGCTTCGCGGATGACTTGAAATTATTTTCTATAATTAAGGAAGTAGGTGATTGTGTAAATCTTCAATCTCAATTAGAATTTCTTGTTGCTTGGTGCAGCAATAATAAATTGAAACTCAATGTGGAGAAATATAAAGTATTGAGTTACAGTCGAAAAAAAAAGTTTATACATTCCCGTATGTAATAGAGGATTCAGATCTGCTGAGATGTAATGAGATCAAAGACCTAGGGGTAATATTCGATCATAAATTAACATTTGGTAGACATATTTCACAAAAAGTTTCAGAATCTCTCAGAGCTTATGGTTTCATCGTTAGAAATTGCAGAAACATTCATAATATTGAAGCCATGAAGCTGTTGTATTTCACCTACGTACGTTCGAAGATAGAATATGCAAGTGTCGTCTGGAGTACATTCTATGAGATTCATAACATAACCATTGAAAGAGTTCAATGAAAGTTTTGTAAATTTCTAATTTTCAGAATAGATGGTTCTTACCCTGAGAGAGGTATCAGTGATGATGTCATATATAAACGTTTGAAACTTTTTAGTTTAGAGCATCGCAGAAAATGTGCGTCGCTCATATTTTTATTCAAGTTAGTGAATGAGAGGGTTGATTGTCCTAAAATTCTTGAACAAACTAACTTCAATGTACCACGGCCAGATTCACGATCTCAATCTATTTTTAGACCTCTCAGAGCAAGAACTAACATTTTGCTCAATTCCCCAATATATGTGCACAAATTTCAATAGCATTTGTGCCATGGTGATTTATTCTTCACTAACCTGCATAACATTATTAGAATTGTGAACGTGTACTTCAAGTAGGTAATTAGAATTAGATTTTCTTATTTGTTAATTTTATTTTTCGTTTATGTGAATGAAAGTTTATATTGTCCTGTAAATGGGTAACTGTTGGACAATAAAGCTATTATTATTATAATATTGCACGCAATATTCTGTATATTATCTACTTTCGTTTCGTTTCATAACCGTTTCTAGAAACTATGCATTCATTTTCTCGTGATTCATTCATCTCTAATGAAAATGTACGTATCTATCTTCCTGATGAAAGTTAATAGTGGTCAGTTACAATCTCCCTTTATCTGTAACTGTTTGTTAATGTTTTCTGTGTTTATTGAATGATCAAAGTTTCAAGATAAATTGTGTTCGACTCTTTCGGACTTCTGATATTTGTATTGATATGAAAATTCGGAAGATATTAATTAGTTCAAGAAGAAATTCAAGATGAATGCTGAAACATTTTCAGTTAGTTTCACTCAAATATTGAGTGATTTTCAGAATTGTGAGAAAATAATATTGTGAAATCGGGTACAGGAAAACTGAAGTGGACCACAGTGATTCAATTGGTGTCAATTCTAGCAAAGGTTATAATGAAAGAATACCGTTTGAATGTGATGTTAACACGTGTGCATACAAACAATTCGAAACCAATTTACATCGTTGTGACCAGAATAATAAATTGTAATTATTAAGTATGAATCAGGTAACTCCCTGTCACGCTGCCGCCTCCGCCACAATAACTATTCCAAATCCAATCGCTTGGGAACCCTTTCATACTGCTATCGAACGTACCAAATTTGGAAGTAAATGTGCTTCAATTTGAGACATTGACACTCTTATTATTTCATAATAACTGTCTATATCAACGTCTATATTAACGAAAGTAATAATCATTACAATTTCCTTACTCAGTCATTACTTAATCATCGATTACATTCAAAAAGAAAACCGCAAACCGCAGTCTCACAGCGATGCATGTTTTCCTGAGCTCACCGGAAGCAATTGAATTGATTATTTAAAGAAGTATGAATTGCGAATAAACTTTGATATTTTAAGTCTTCTTTTGAACAACTAAAATTTGAGTTGTTCGATATGAATATTGATGGTTGAAAAGTAAACTTAGTTTATGTGAAACTGTACCCTTTGATGATATTGAACAGCTGCTTATAATAGTTTCAAATAATTTATAAATCAACTTCTAATCGAGAAATTGGTTTGGTGTAATTTATTAAGAGAATAGTTTTGGTGATTGTGGGTTCATGGTCAATGCTCTACATTTATTCTTTCCGTTCATAACCAATTCTATTGTTTCTATTCTATTCTATTATTTCCAGTTTGACTATAAATTCTATTCATGCAGTGAAGGACTAATAATAGGGAACCCTTTGAGTCCCTTGCTGGTTGAAATATCCATGGAAATATAGAGTATGGAATCCACAATCATCAGTTAACTAACAATTTCTTGTACTGGTGCAGATACGTAGATGATACCTCAGTCTGTTTTACTGGTACAGATAGGCAATTAGGCAAGTTCATTGAATGTCAATTCCATCCACCCGTCAATAAAATTCACCACTGAGAGAGAGGTAAATAATTCAACAAATTACCTTGACTTAACCATCACGAAAAATAACAATAATCATGAATTATATCAGCATAAAGTAGCAGCTTTCAACAGTATGATCCACTGATTAATGTGCCTTTGTCAGAGGCGAATTTCTATAAAGAACTGAATATAATGAAGCAAATTCCCGTCAACAATGATTACGATAGCGGTCAAATACATTCTTTATTATCAAAAAAGTTATACAGTCAAGCTTTGAAAGAAGTTTACCCAATTCAAAGAGAAGAGGATAAAAGTTATAGATCCTTAACCTACTTAGGCCAACCCACTACAAATATTTCAGATTTTCTGCACAGCAAAGGTCTAAATACTGCTTTCAAAACCAACAACAACTTAGGCATGCACATAAGAATAACAAAGAAAAGTTCAGTTTTAGAAAAATCAGGAGTGTATAAATTATTGTGTGGGTCATGTCTGATAGTTTATATAGGACAAACTGGAATAGCGTTTGATGCCCGCATAAAGGAACCTATTTGTGACAAATTTGTATCTTTTAACTTCTATGATATATCTATTTTTCAACGATACTAATATGCCACGTTTTTTCAAATTCACTGCAGCTTTTTGTGGAATATTTATCGATATGTAACGTGAGAGCAATTCACGAATATTTTTGATAAACTTCGATTTGAAGACTGATCATTTTGAATACTTCAATCGACACTGCTCTTGAGCGGCTTGTTCATGAAAGAAACCACGCACATCTAATCTCCCAACGCACGTGTTCACCAGATCGTTGGCGCGAAATTAGCGTTTTAGGCAGAAATAAAGTGTAACGTACCTCAAATTATATTTAGTAATATTGGTAATCCTGCTCAGGCCGAGCTTCACTTTTGAGGCAGTCACTATGAATTTTTATAAACACAACACAAACCAACTAAAGCGGAGCTTCTTTCAGAAATGGAATCCACCTGTCTTGAAAACCACCAGTAAAGGTACACACCATGCGGATTAATCTTACATGAGGCCCCTCCAAAGAAAAGAAGAAGAGCGACCCGCCTTCTGACCCAGACACGAGACAGAACAGTTATAACACATCTTGCGCATCATACTGCATTGGGAAAAATTAGCCTATTAAACTATTTAACTAACATGAAAAAGTGGCCTGCCAGCTCTCGAATTCATATGCGTCTAGCCTATACGCGGAATTGTTGGCGGGTATCAATAGTAGTGTCCGGAGTTGAAAGGGACACACTTCAATGTACAGAGTGGGCCAAAGTGGACACTTTCAAAGGGAAACTCCTGTTTTCAAACTAATAGATGAGAAAACTAATGGCTGTGTCTCGGGGTCAAATTTTATGACAAACTCAATGGTGAATATCACATATCGATATCTGGTTGAGTATTTGGAGGCCGGTGCGAGTTCATTGGAAACTACATAGTGTCATGACAAACACATTATTACAACACATGCCATTGGGGAGCACTCTTCAACCAATTAAACTCTGAATAATTAGAAATGAGGGAATATATTTTAAATTGTAGTTTTGTTTTGAATGTGTATTTTATTTTATTCTATATTGCTATGTCCGGACCTACCACAAATAGAATAATACTATCGATTCTGAGTTACAGCTTTTTTCTAAAATGTGTATTTTCGAAAAATTGCTGTAACTTCATCAGGTCAAAAATTTCTTGTGTCTATGAAAACATTTCCAAAGCACTTTTTTACGTAGACTTCAATGGTGTAAAAAACTGAGTTTTTGCAAATGGAACATCAATAGTTATTGACGAAAAACAGTTTTTTTTAAAGGGGCACACTGTATATTCCCAGTGTCGGGTTAAGCCAGCGTGGGGCCTGTAGCAAATTCTGTGAAGAGGCTCTTGGTTTGCTGAAGGTTCTCAAGTTAAGGGTAGTAAATAAAACAAAACTGTTACAAGTAAACTTTTCTGGATTCAATATGGGTAAATTCAGAGATAACACTTTCATATATCGACTTCTTTGGGCAAATCATATTCTATATTCATCCTGTTACAACTCAACGTTGAAAAAAACGTTCGCCACTGCATTTAGTGATCATGGAGAAGAATAAATACGAAAGGCAATTTCTACGTTTGAGAAACATGATTCTAAGTAATTATCTGATAAAAGTTTATAAAATTGCAGTTCCAGAAGCTCTTGTTTCTTGCTGTCAACAACAGTAGCCACATCTGTTTTTAGCATTTCAGCGAACTGCGCTAATTCGTCGCCTAGGTTGTTCTCCAAATCGTTTCCGTAAGCACTGACCATATTTGAGGCGTTTTCCAAAATCTCTTCCGTTGTAAGGGATTTTAGCTGTCAAAACCACCAGAAATTTTATGATATGCTTCTATACGTTCAGATAAAGCAGACAGTACTTATCAATAATGACAATAAACACATGAATTTCAAAACGTTGTCCAGGTGTTTCATTTTCAACAAAGTCGTCGACTGGAGTAGAACCGGTAAAATGGTCCTACTCTGTATTCCGCTTGCATCGTCTTGAAGTCTGTTGCTGATATTCTTCATAGCCGGTCAGATCTTTGACTTCTGCTTCAATAACTGGAAATATGGATAGCATTGCTTGGACGTAGCGATGCCAAAAAAAAATTCTTAAGAATGGCTCACATCTGAAGTGCTTTCAAAAGTTATTTTATGTTGTGCCAAACGTAAATGTACAGCATTTTATTATTGTTTGATAGTCGACAGAATCCTATTTCATTTGATCGGGTTGCTACGACTAGCTCGTTCGATGACAATATCAGGGAATTCCCCTATTAGTTTTGCAGTGCTGCCAACTTGCGTGTAGTGCAATGCAAGTCGAACAACGCATAACTTTTGGTGTGGCCAGCGCTCAATTTTGGAAATGTGGTAAAATTTTGAATTATTGTTGTATATTTTGATACCAACGTTTCTTGTGGTAGGTACTATACCTATAATGAAACATCTTTCTCTAAATTAATAGGCAAAGTACCGTCACTAGCTCTCAATAATCTCGAAACATGATCGATATGATAATCGATTCAAAAAAAGGTCAGCTATATTCATTCATGAAATTATTCTATATTCTATAATAAATCTAGCAACCAGAGATCATGACTTGGTTCAAAAAAATAAACAGTTCGTCTTATTCTCGAAATAAATTAGACATTATATATAAATTAGATATATATAAGGGTGTGTTCGAACAATGAAACTAACAACTTTCGTCAAGAAACATAGGTCGCAAAATTTTGGTGTTCCCATAGGAAATTAATCAGCTGATCGGCAACTTTGTATGGAGGATCGAAAATTCGTTTCAATTTTGTCCTATATAAGTCCATTGTGAAAAGTTGTTCAGTTTCATGGCCCGAACAAGTCCTTAAAATATTTGCGCGTAAAAAAATATTACCTTACATAGTAATCGATTATAATTGAGCCGGAAAGTAGAGAAACGCAATTTTCAAAGGGGATCTGCTCAAGAGTATTACGAAAAAAAAAATATTGATAGTTGTAGTGTTTTCAACAGCATAAACATCAAGATATTAACGTTGAAAGTTAGTAAAATCAACTATTTTTACATGAACGTGTTAATTTATATTCTGAAAAACGTGTCAGCTAATCAATTTTTCATTTAATGAATAAATTTTTATACAATATAAATATAAATGATTGATATCTGATAATATTTAACGCTACGAAATCTAGTTATAGATTTTCAGGTGGCAGTGAAACATAACCTGGCAAAATATTTTTACACTCCTATCTAAATTGATATTTTTTACGGTCAGACAGGTGTTGGGCCGCGGGGCCCCTCGAGTCTCGGGGCCCGTAGCATTTGCTACTCTTGCTACCTTCCTAATCCGGCACTGTATATTCCTGCAAATTTCAATAGAGCTAC